CACCCAAGTTGATGTAGTACTTTTGAAAGTGTTACTGTACATTAAAAGCAAGACACAATACAGAGTAACCAGTAGAGAAATTAATAGCCTAATTAATATGAGAATATATATATATATATATAGGCTTAGTCTGTCTGTGTGTCTGTCTATGTGCCTGTCTGTCCATAATGCTTTTGCCCAACTGTGCATGCACCACTGAGAGGGTGGGCAGATTGGCTGCGCGGGCCTGGGCTGAGCAGGCTCACGTTTGCAGCAGCAGCAAACGCGCCCCAGCTGCCCGAGCAGCAGGGCTTCCCCATGCCTCCCTCCCTCCCCCTGCCCACCTCTGACTCCTCCCCAAACCAGAGGAGCTACCTCCCACCTCCCTGCCTGAGGATGAAGGGGGGGATCATGGTGGCGGCACCTCCCCGCCACCCGGCCCCAACGCATCCCAGAACAGCAGGCAGGGAGGGGAAGGCAGAGAGGGAGGGAGGGGAGGTGAGGGGAGGCAGGTGGATGTGGGCCAGGTGGACAGATATGGGGTGGTGGAGCGGGGCTGGATGCAGAGCAGCAGTGGGGTGAGCGGGGCTGGATACAAAGCGGTGGGGGGGGGCATGCAAGGCTCTGTCCCCACCCGACTCCCCTTCCCTCCCCTTCATTCTTGACGGGCAATTTGTTAGCAGGAAAATAAAAATGTTTCATAGATTTCATAGATATTAGGGCTGGAAGGGACCTCGGAAGATCATCGAGTCCAGCCCCCTGCCCAAAGGGCAGGAAGTCAGCTGGGTTCATAGGATCCCAGCAAGATAAGCATCCAGTTTCATCTTGAAGGTGTTCAATGTAGGCACTTGAACCACCTCCGGTGGCAGGCTGTTCCAGACCTTGGGGGCTCGGACAGTAAAGAAAGTCTTCCTTATGTCCAGCCTGAAACGGTCTTGTAGTAGTTTATGACCATTCGACCTAGTCGTCATCCCTTGGGGCACTCTGGTGAAGACACGTTCCCCCAGATACTGGTGGTCACCCCTGATAAACTTGTAGGTGGCCATCAGATCACCCCTGAGCCTGCGCTTTTCCAGGCTAAAGAGCCCCAGGGCTCTCAGCCTGTCATCATAAGGTCTGCTTCCCTGACCTCTGATCATGCACGTGGCTCTTCTCTGGACTCTCTCAAGCTTCTCCACATCCTTTTTGAATTGTGGAGCCCAAAACTGGACGCATGTTAGAATAGATTCAATCTTAGCCTAAGTACCACTATTTCTCAATAATACATGCTTCACAGAGATGTTGCATGTGTAATTAAATGTTCACCAAGAGTTTTGACACTTAGATTTATTTGCTGCGGTCACTCTTATTCACAGCTTGGTTTGGTTGTTCTCAATTTGATTTAAGCAGATATTTTAAATAAGCTGTAATTTAAGCATCTCCACAGAAGGATTTACAATATAAATTAAAAAACAAACACAACAAAATTCCAAAAGACCACAAAACCACACACACACACACACACACACACACACTCAATCGAGAGCACATACTTTTGCTTAAAACTATTGCAAAATGTCATGCATAACCTAAATTTCAATCTTTTTTCTGGTCTCCATCATATACTACTACAGTTAGTATCCTCTGTCAGCAAAGGGGCCTATCTTTAAAAAGACGTCAAAACTGAAACACAAATTTCTCCATATGACTATACATTTCATCCCAAAGAAGTCTGCATTTCCAACATCTTTTTGTGACTTCGGTAGCTTCATTCCAGCTCTTTTCAAGGGAATTAAATACAACCAAAATGCCAGTGCAATTCTGTTTCTATTCTATTTATAAGAAACACAAACTAGAACCTAGAAAATAAAGTTGTCATCAAACTGCTTCTAAATCACACTATAAAATATTTTTAAAAGTTATACCACAATAAGCACGCTAAAAGGTCACTGTTTCCTATCCTCAAGTTTGCAGAGCTTGCTCCCCAGTTAAATTTGACATTGTAAAGATAGTTGTTCTCCAGTGGTTAATAGTTCAGTAAAGATGCAGTCTCCACATTTAGCTATACTTTGGCATGTGTACCTCATTGCTTCTATGTCCATATCAATTGTAACTGGTTTCCCTATTAGGAAAACATTTCCTGTAGTAATTTCATAGACATCAGGGCTGGAAGGGACCTCGGAAGATCATCGAGTCCAGCCTCCCACCCAAAGGGCAGGAAGTCAGCTGGGGTCATAGGATCCCAGCAAGATAAGCATCCAGTTTCATCTTGAAGGTGTTCAATGAAGGCGCTTGAACCACCTCCGGTGGCAGGCTGTTCCAGACCTTGGGGGCTCGGACAGTAAAGAAGTTCTTCCTTATGTCCAGCCTGAAACGATCTTGAAGTAGTTTGTGACCATTCGACTTTGTCATCCCTTGGGGCGCTCTGGTGAACAAACGTTCCCCCAGATGCTGGTGGTCACCCCTGATAAACTTGTAGGTGGCCATCAGATCACCCCTGAGCCTGCGCTTTTTCAGGCTAAAGAGCCCCAGGGCTCTCAGCCTGTCATCGTAGGGTCTGCTTCCCTGACCTCTGATCATGCGCGTGGCTCTTCTCTGGACTCTCTCAAGCTTCTCCACATCCTTTTTGAATTGTGGAGCCCAAAACTAGACACAGTACTCCAGCTGCGGCCTCACTAAGGCCGAGTACAGCGGGAGAATGACGTCCGGGGATTTGCTTGAGAAGCATCTATGGATGCAAGCCAGCATTTTGGCTGGCTTGCATTTGAAAGCAAAATGGAAAGAACAGAAACTCAACTGGATATTAAATGTGTTTCCAGAATTACTATTAGTGAGGCAAATGCAATCTGAATAAATCAAACATTTTTAAAGGGTACGCATATCAATACCTTTTTTAAAAGGAGAGGTCCAGGAACATATAAAACAAAATCTAGATAAAAGCACATAAAACATATCTACAATTCTGAAGTGTGCACGTGTGTGGTACATATATATAATACTACACATGCAATAATACTACACATGCAACAGTAGTACAATTCTGATGTTTTACTGTTACTCAAATACAAAATGGAAATGTAAAAAAAAGAGGTGCAAAGCAAAGTCGAATGTAAAGCTATAGACAGCCCTAGATGTATCATTTTCAAGTGCAATTGTTTCACTTTGCAACCTTAGGCCCCTGGCAGAGGTTTCAGATGTGATTAACTAGTTAATCATGTCTTAAGTAATACCCCAGCCACAGGTGCATTTAATTAATAGTGAAATAAAGCAGAGAATAAGCCACAAAGTTATGATGCAAAAAAGGTGTAATAACTTTATGGTTGGTTCCTACCATGACAGACTGAACACGTAGCCAGCCCCAGGAGTTTGGATGCACTGCTGCAGCTGGGAACCTGGTGGGCCAATCAGGACTCCTATAACTGGGATTTGGAGCTCCTATGACTGGGAGCTCCAAATAGCTGATCACAGGTCCCAGCTAAGAGTAAATGGAGCCTTTGGCTCAGCTGCACTCCTGCATCTGGGAGCCCTAATCAGCTGACCAGGGCTCCCAGTCATGGGGGCACCAGCAATATAGTGCCATTAGAATCTCATCCCTGATCTCATAATCGTCCCTCCTGCCATGCACACACAAGAATATATATTATACATTTTTGAGAAACATTATACACTGTGTATGCGTTTATTCAGACATACCAGAACCAACTCTCATATCTACTAGAGAAAAAAAACATTTCCCCCCCCCATTTAACATGGGGCATGAAGGAAGCCCCTCATCTTGGGTTTTAATACATATGGGAGGAGGGGGGAGATGAAAGACGAATCAAAACTCAGCACATACAAAAGGTAGAGTACAGCAGAGTACACACACAGACATTATCAGACCTTACTGTTACTGTTCTAACTGTAACAAAAACATTTCCTTGACAACAGTTTCACCCCATCCACCAAATTTAGTGTTTTATTAGATCATTGTCACTGTAAATTCAATTTAGACATGCTTTATAAGACTATAATGTGGTGTCTCTCACTGAACTCTTCTGAAAGAGCAGAGGCAAACTTAAATTGTCCTGGGCAATATATTTTAATAATGACCATATTTAGAATTCTAGTTCAAAATTTAAACAGTTTTGTACTCTATGTTATTCACATATGAGAACTGCTTTGCAACTATGTGAACCTTGAGGACACTGGCTTATGCTTAAAGGGTTTCCGATGTTTCCACATATAAACCTAAGCAATACAATAGCTAAAAACAGCAAAAACTTTGACAACTTTTAGAAACTGCACACTTGAAAAGAACCCTCTAAATGAAACAGTGAGCATTCCATGTCAAAATATAAAATATCGTCAAGATTTATCCCTTAATTTATTATCGTTGCATATAACTGAAGACTAGATTTAACTTGCATTTGATGTCTTTAAAACATCTTTGCTAAGGTCTATATATAAAAACAAAATAAAATTGTAAAATATTAAAAGCATCATTTCTACACACAGCAATTACTGGTGTTTATTTTGTTTCTTAAAATAATAAACACAAGACCAAAAATCAGTTTTTTAAGTGGGCTGATTTTACAATTCACAGTAACTCACTGTGAATTGAGTTCACAAACTGTGAATTGAGTTCACAAACTGACATTTGTGAGAAGGGTATTTTTGATCCTTTTGGGGAAAAAATTGGAAAGCTAAACTTTTGCTCAATTCACAAAATAGACAAGATACCCAGAAAAACTCAAGGCTGTTTTAAGCAAGTTGATATTCTAGTCCTCATTTGATCTGTTAAACATAAGTACTGCAGAATGTTGTTGATGCTACTGCACGTGCAGACAACTGTTTCAGTAAACTAGAAGTCCGCAAGGTGCCTGAATGTCATAAACACTTCCAGTACACCTTAGTTTATTTCATTCTTAAAAAAGAGCAAGAGAAAAACATGAAAATTCCCTAAATTGGGAATAAAATTCCACAGCAATATCTAGGCTAGTATATTTGAACAATACAATTCCCCATAGAAGAAAGGAAAAAAACCCCAAATGCATAAAAACCTGTTTTGTGCTCCCATCCATGGCTCCCCAACTATTTTTCTCCTAATGGCTGCTTCTTCCTCTCTTACAACTGTCAAAGGCCAGAGGTAAATCACTCAGTCCACCATGGTTGACAACATCACCAACACAGTACAGAAAGCTGCTTTCCTTAACCTACATCAGACCCCAGTCCTGGCAAGGAAAAAGGAATGCTTTAATTTAGAGCTATTCAGGAAGAAGTGTTTGCCTGTGAAGAGTCCAAATTCAGTGCAACTAAGGAATGCAAGCCATCTTTCTGCTTGCATCTTTCTGCCTGGGCCACCTGGCAATAAATACAATACTTATATTCCCCCTTTTCAGATATAAAGTACAGATGCGAGAGGTGTTAGACAGAGCTAGCGATCAGAAACTGGTCTCTACCCATAACAGAACAGAAGTTCAGTGCACACAGACTGGTTTAGAAATGACAGAACCTGGCTTAAGATTTTCCCCCTCACCAAAGGACAAATGTGTTCTGTTTGTAAATTAGGCAGTTTACAGAAAACCATGCAACTTGGATGGATTCTGCCTCAGGTTTTTTGAATGTCTGTACCTAGATTATATCAAACTTTTGAGAAACCTAACAGGTAGGGATCATCTGCAACTTCATCCCAGCCTATAAAACTGTTGTTACTAAATAAGCAACACAAGAAGAGGCTGATTTCCATTAGAAAATATGCAATTACATGCGACTGCAGAACAAATAAATTAATACCTGCCCTTGTTTTTAGGTCATATAATCCAAGAAACAAGTAAATTATTCAATAAATCTATAGCTATTTATAAGCTTTCCAAAGCCAGTGGTATTGCCAATACATTTCCAGAGGTGACCAGATTCAGAAAGAGCACAAGAGATTACATTCCAAAGTATGTTAACCTTCCCTCTGCCCCCATGAGCCCCACTCAGGAACTTGTGTGTTATAGGACTGACCTTGAGAACTAGTCATCCAAAGCTCAAATGGAAAATTTACTTGGTCTGGTTTTGACACCGTGAGAGAGAATTGTCCCATCTTATTAAACTTGGGCATATTTCCAATATAACATTTGATTTTCTGTGTGTATATAAATAAATTTATGCACATGCCTAGACAGAGCATTTATAATGACAAATTCTAGAAAGATAAATGCAGTGATGCTCATAAAAGGGCCACCCAAAAAAAAAAATCAAAAACAATTGATTGACTACTTGAGGTTTCTTGATAGCCTTCTTGATAGCAGATTTCAAACAATGCGTCTATAATAAAGAGGAAAATGAGCAACACAATGTTGCTGAAAGAGGAAACTATAACAGTTCAAAACCCAAAGATCTCTCCTCAAAAGTCTTTCTAATATTTCATGGGTGGTTTATAAACTTTTTTATTAAACCATTGGAATACCTGACCAGTCTGTTTATTAAAAAAAAAAAAAGTGTGTGGCCCTAACAGTCAACTGTATGGATGTAGCAAGCTGTGTTCTCCTTTCGCCTCTCCCTTAATTTAGGAAAGAGCTGGCACTGGCTTAGGTTCAGTAGAAGAACAGCCCTTGTTTCTCTGTACAGTACCAATTTAAAACAAACTGAAGTTATTGAAGAGACTTCAAAAGGCTTTCTTTGTTCAGGCAAGTTTTCTACAGGTAAAATAACAATAACAATAACAAGATTTTAATTCAATATCTCAATTTACAAAGCTGCATGCACTAGGAGAGAATATTTTCTTCATCTATTATAATCACAAAAACTTACTACAAAAAGGTAAGCAGTATGCAACCAAATGTGGTTAGATCTACCAGAGGTTACTCTCTCCCAGTTCTTGTTTCAATTATTTAGGATTTCATCTCTGTCAGACTATATACCCTTTACAATCTGCTGTGGCTGTACATACCCCTATCTTTGCAAATGTTAAGGAATTATCCAGGGTCTACTGTGGTACTTGAGTGTATTGGCCTATTCCATCCCCTGCATTGTCAGCAAGACTGAAAAAATATAAATACATAAATAACCACCCCTTCATTATCATACCTTTGCATTAAGGTATATTTATTACAATGAAGTTGACTCTCAATCTTCGCCTTGATAAACTAAATCAAGGGGGCTTGATCTCAGTTACACCCATGTAAATTTACCCAAGGCCCTCAAGTAGCTACTGATAATGAGCATGCATGCGCACACACAAATTTGAAGAAAAAAAAAAAAAGTGTCCTAAAAAAGGAACATATTTATCGGACAAGATTTAAAACAAAAAACAACGATACCGCCCCCCACCCCCCAATACCAAGCAGCTACCTGCAGGGCCATATCCAGACGCGTATGAATGTTTGGCTCCCTGGGGACTAGCAGTGGTTCACCTTGTGCTACTGCTAGTTGTCCCTGGGGAAAACCTGTACTCCGCATGCTCTGGCATGCAGCAAGTAACCACTGGTGGGGTACGGAAGGCTGGGGTCAGCACTGGGCTGCACCTAGGGGCTTGACGGCCTTCTGGGGCTGCATCAGTGGTGATCCTTTTGCGCAGAGCCTGGCCAGCAGAGGAGTACAGCTCTGGCTGGCCAGGTTTCAGCTTTGGGCAGCACACACTGCTGCTGCATATGCCACTCCACTTATTTTTTCCATGGGTTTTCTGACCCCTGGATGTCCCCTTGCAGTGCAGAGAACAATGGAACATGCGGTATGTGGCACCACAGACGTGTCTGCAGCACCATGTTGTGCATGGCCGTGCTCATCTGGACGCGCCCCAGGAGTCTAAAAAAAATCAAGACTCCTAGTTCTAGCTTTAGGTATCTAAAGAAGTGTAATGATTTTCAGAGTTTGTGCACCCATAGATTTGCATTCACTTTGTAGAAAAATCGTGGATACTCAGCACTTTTCAGAAATTTTACAAATTAATTATGTAACTAAGTACAGCCTTAGGACTGTAAGTCTAGACTCTTGCTTTTAAAATCTTGGCGTCAGTATCTGAAAACTATTTGTCTAACTACACCCTGCATATCTAGTCAAACAAGTTTTGTCAATATTTACTTTTAACTAACAGGAAAAGAAAGAAGCTGCCATTTGCAGCTGGGGTTCATATTTGGAAATAAATGCTTAAAATTTACTTTGTTTCTGGGAGTAAAGGGATGTGAGCCAGTGGGTGTTGACTCATTTTCAATCTGCACAAGGCAGCAAGACAAGTAAAAACTAACTTTCTGCTTATCCAAAAATACTTTACAAGTCCTATGCCTTGAAAGCAGACTTTGCATATCTAACACTAAAATTTCTGTATAGAGCTTTATTTTCTAGAATTTCACTAAAAGGTAGAAGGTAGGGCAGTGCTACACCTCTTTTGGACTCAATGTGTCCCTCAGAAAATGCCAGCTCTTAGCTTTCAATCATTTTTTGACTATGAAAAAAATACAGCAATTATACTGCAAACAATTCAGACTACAAGTCAGAATGTTTCTGACACATTGGATTCCTATTTTAAATCTCTGGGTTATCTCATGAATCATGTGTGGGTGTTTCTACACCTAACAATGCTAATATTGCACAGCATCCTTAAAAGGCACTTTAGCTGAGAATCATCAGGTACATACAGATGTTACACTTAGATCAACCTAACTAGCGTTAGGCCAATCTAAGTGCTGATCTATGCATACATTTGGGGAGGTAAGATTGGGCAAAAAAATGACCAGCCTGATATAAAACTTAGGTCACTTGAGAGGTCTAAATGTCTGCACATGTTTGGAGTGATTCCCTGAAGCTGGGAAAGCCCAGCTACTTGCCCCAGCCCTGGAGCTGCATTTTTCGTAACCCTCCACTACCACCTTTCTCCCTCAAACCCTGACCAGCCCATTTTCAGCACCCCCCCACCCAACTGCTTCCCACATCCCCAAACAGCCAGCTGTCCGCCTCCACCCCCCCAGCAGACCCACTAACCTCCCTCCACCCCAACTTAGATAGTGTTTCCAATGCACCTCCCAGTACCAGCAAACATGCACCAGTGGAACCTAATCTATACTCACACAGCTTAAAGCTACATGACTGTAGATCAGGTCCCAGAAACATCAGCACATGGCCACTGTTACAGAATAACTCATTCAGAAAGGTATGAGCTTTTCTAGGTTACAGCCTACTTTTTCAGATGCTATGAATGGGCTTGCAGAGAGCAAGGGTACTAAATAAAAAAGTCATTTAAATACAAAGAATAGGGAAAAGAAAAGGAGGGAAGCAGGGAGCACTGATGACAGAGGATAAGGTGGGTTGAAGAGATAAAAAGGGATAAACAAAGCAGTTAACAAACTGAAGGAATAAAGACTGCTAACAGATATAGGGGGTGGGGAGGGGAAAAAAAGTAAGCAGGTTAGTTTGACCTGGCTTCCCAGTGTCTGTATAAATTGCCCTGCTGAAGCACCTGATCTATACAGAGGTTAGGCAAGCCAGGTCGAACTAATGTGATGCATCTTCTGGGCATGTGCTGCACTTGGCTCAGGGGTGCGCTGACTTTAAAGTAAAGTACTGGGGGGTTTTCCCCCCCACATTTGTAAGCAGCCATGGTTACTAAAGCTAGTCCAAACATGGGTGCCAAGTGGCAGGGGGGCAATCCCCACTGCCCCCCACTGTGCAGGAGGGCTCTGCCATGAGCCCCCAGAGGCCTTGATTGCTGCTGCTGCAGTGCTGCACTTGGCTCAGGGGTGCGCTGACTTTAAAGTAAAGTACTGGGGGGTTTTCCCCCCCACATTTGTAAGCAGCCATGGTTACTAAAGCTAGTCCAAACATGGGTGCCAAGTGGCAGGGGGGCAATCCCCACTGCCCCCCACTGTGCAGGAGGGCTCTGCCATGAGCCCCCAGAGGCCTTGATTGCTGCTGCTGCAGCCAGTGAGTGCAGCGTTTCGCCCATGGCCCCCCTCACCCAGGGAGAGGCAGGCACAGCTGAAGCCATGGGAGAAGCCCCCATGGCTGCCCTGCCTGGCCCCAGCCTCCCAGCACTTTAAAAGGAGGGCTGCAGGGCTGTGCCGGACTCTTCCCAGGGGCGCCTACGAAACATCCCAAAAATTTCTGCAGCGTTCTA